TCCACTACCACTCTCTGGGTGTGACCCTCCAGCCAGTGGGTGACCCAATTGTCTGTGTGGGTGTTGACACCACAGTCCCCCAGTTTCTTAACGAGAATGGGGTGAGAGACAGTGTCGAAGGTCTTCCAAAAGTCCAGGAAGACTATGTCCACTGCTACCCCTGCATCTAAAGATTAGGTGACCTGGTCATAGAAGGCCATCAGGTTGGTCTGCCATGTTTGGCTTACTTTGTGTACTGTCAGTTGAAGCCCAATCCAGTCCTTACTGTAAACACAGAGGTGAAAATCTCTTATTTGTAGTAATATTTTTGTAAAGTTCCAAAGGTAGTATTCTGTTATATTCCCACTTCCTCTCTACAGAGCGTTCCAGTAGGCTATCAAGGGAGCTGACTTGAGACTGGCTTGAAAACTGGTTAGGTTTTTTATATTATGACTTAATATTTACTAGCAAATCTGCTTTATCAGTAGCTTCAGGTTTAGGAATAATTTTGAAAACTTTAAATTAAAATGTCTGTGTTTGCAATGTTTTCTGTTTCTTTTTTGGTTTGTTTTGTTTTGTTCTTTCTGGAGGGAAGTGCTTTGTACTGTCCAGTTTCTTTGGGGTAAAATGTCATTTGTGGAGATGTAGAAATTCAGACTTCTTTGGAGCAATAAGAACAAGGGGTTTCTCTACTGCCACAACCCAGCATCCATCACGGAAGGTAGATCTATCTCCTCCCACTTCAGTTAGTTATAAGTCACTTCCTCTACTCAAGGTCCCACCACTTCCAAAACCTATGTCATGCATATATTGAGCCTAATTATATATCTTTGTAAGACTGGGGGTGCATCTACACAAGACGTTAACTGTGCAGTTGACTAATTAATTGCACAGTAAATGCCTTGGCATCTACATGTGCGCCCCTATTAGGCTGGAGTAAACTAATTTACTATGCAGCAGTATAGTACTTATCCTGCTGTGCTATCCTGCTGTGGAGTAAAAAACTCCTCAGCAGTGCAGGTGTACATGCTGCCCTGGCTGCCTGGGGCATGAGGGTGCTTCAGTACAGGGGTTGCCTGCCAGCTAGGCCCACATTGAAGCACTCTCATGCCCCAGCCAGTCCCTCTGCAGCATGTTGAGCTAGGGGCCCAGCCACAGGCTAGCAGGCTGGCCCCCTGGGCCACCTGTCGGTTGGGGCTGCTCTGATCCAGCTCAACATGCTATGCATGAATAACCTCCAGAGTTTATTGCTCCCAGGCACATATTCAAACAGCGTGCTCAAGAGCAATAAACTCCGGCACAATACTGTGTTCAGTTTTGGGTCCCCCACTACAGAAAGAATATGGACAAATTGGAGAGAGTCCAATGGAGGGCAACAAAAATGGTGAGGGGGCTGGGGGACATGACTTATGAGGAAAGACTGAGGGAACTGGGCTTATTTAGTCTAGAAAAGAGGAGACTGAGAAGGAATTTAATAGCAGCCTTCAACTACTATGAAGATGGGGCTGGACTGCTCTCAGTGGTGGCAGATGACAGAACAAGGAGCAATGATCTCAAGCTGCACCAAGGAAAGTTTAGGTTAGATATTAAGATATTCGGAAGAATTTTCTCACTTGGAGGGTAGTAAAACACTGGAACATGTGTTTCCACAAAGAGGTGGTAGAATCTCCATCCTTGGAGGTTTTTAAGACCCAGCTAGACAAAGCTTTGGGTGGGATGATATAGGGCTGGTCCTGCTTTGAGCAGGGGTTGGACTAGATGACCTCCTGAGGTCCCTTCCAACCCTCATTTTCTATGATTCTAATAAGCTCCAACATTTATTCATGCACCGTAATTGTACATGTAGACATGCCCCGAGGGACCAGTTTTGCTCCAGAGAATTGCCCCATCCTGAGCCTGTTGAGGTCAGTAGATGCTCTACATATAGAGTGGTACTTGGACTTAAAACATCATCCCTCATTATTACCACTGGGACAAATATTTAAAGCCAGATACCTGCTAAAGCAACATGGGCACTGAGGTTTATCTGCTGCTCAACTGAGTTGAAGGATACTCTATAAATACTGCCTGTGTCTCTAAACCTGACTAGCTAATCTCTTAATAAATGAGAGAAAGAAGCTTCTCTAAACTGGATTTATATTTGAATATAGGAGGAAAATTTGTATTTATGAACATGAAACAGAATAATTCAACAACCAAGAAAATTATAATTGTGTAACAGGATTAAGTCGCTCTTGATAGCCTTTACTTTGATCGCTGCATTGTTCATAGTCAGTCCAGCAGGAAAGAGCAATTGAGACAAACTGAAGATATGAGACACCCCTTGTACGACTATCCCAGAGCACACAAATATCTGAAGTCAAGCAGGAGCTTCCTCACCAGCATCCAAACACTCGATGCCAAACTCAAGGAGACATGACTACAAGTATGGAACAAGAGGCTGAAGAAAATATTAGGTACTGGAATATGCAGTTTTTCATTGTCAGAGTCCTTGCCCTCAGGGTCTGACAAACCGTGGCAAAGGTGGCAATGTTTCAACTGCCTACATGCCAGAATTGGATGCTCCAAGGAACTAATGAAGAAATGGGGGCTATACCATTGGTTCAACAGAACCTCAGACTTTGCAACACCTGCTGCAATGCCTGCTGCTTGAAGGCACATGTACAATGAAAGGTCTTGAAAAATACAATAAATGAGCACCAGCATGTCTAACAAAATAGTCAAGTATGATGTTGAGACATGAGAAGAAGTCTACCTTCACTATATAAGAAAGCTACTAGCATGTTTAATCTACAGTATATTGTACACCAAAGTAGATATGGCTTTGCCTTATAGGTATATGGGTTGTAAGTTAGTGGCAGCCAAGAGAACCTGTAACACGCATCCTGAGGAAAAAATATTGGAAAGATGGGAAGGGTGTTGTAAGTAGTGGCTTGCCCACAGTAACAATTAAAGTATGTGTCAGAGCTGTAAATAGAAACCAAGAAACCCTGCTTTACCATATCATCCTTCATCCCAACAGAAGACAAAATATTAGCATTGCTATCTTGTCAAGTGAGATGTAACTGGAAACAACTTCTTATTGAGCAAATGAGAAAATAGAAATTGGGTTCTGCTTGCCATTGGCTACAAAGCTATGTGATCTGGGCTTAGACTGTCAGTAGTGAAGAGTGGCAGTGCTGCTCATACCCAATGGGAAAGAGGTGACGGTGAAAGTGGAGAGGAGATATACTATAGATATACTGGTGGAAGAAAGGAGGAAGTGTCATCACCTGGACTTAGAGGACAGTGGAACGAAACATGGAGTTTGGTGTACCTGAGGGTGAAGGAGGTGATGAAGAGGCTGAAATGGGGAGGGAGTGGTAGATTTGGTTTGCCCAAGAAGACATCCCTATTACATGATATGTCAGAGTTTAGGTGTGGGGTAGCACAGGAATGGGAGGAAAGGTGGGTAGAAACAGGTGGAGAAGGCTCTAAACATGAAAAGATGTTCAAAGTTGTTGGAAGGGGAGAGATAAAACAATAGGTTATCATTAGAGTACAGGGCCTTCAAACTAAAGTCTAATTTCTGTGCACCAGATATTTAAGTGTTGTTTCAAAGATCACCGTGCAATACCATTCCCCTAAAAAGGATGAAGCTCATTTTCACTAAAAACAGAAACCATGGAGTAAGGTTCTGTCCTCAGTTAGTTAGTATCAACAGTCAGATCTGGACATGCTCAATGCTGGAGAGATGTCTAGAGATCAGTAGAAAAGCAGCCAGTGCCAAAACAGATGCTGATTATGTCACTGGCACTGAGATGGGGTCATATTTATCTTCACTCACCACAACTAAGTATAGACCTGTCAAATAGACTGAAAAAACTGAAGATGAGGATGAGAGAAGCACAGACAGCTGGCCCCAATTACACTGAGATCCAGAAAAAAGTGCTCAATCAGGAACAGGCACAGGAAGATAAGGAGCCTGCCTCACTTCCCTGCCTGGGCTACCTATATTAAGGGAGACAAACAGAAGAGGGGGAAGTGAAAACAACTGCTCTTGGGCTGAGAAGGTCCACTATTCTTGGCACGCTGGCCAAAAGAAATAGAAAGCTGAGACCAAAAATGCTAGCACAAGAGTAGTTCTTCCATAGAGCAAAGGGAAAGCTCTGCTCTGCTTATGGATGGCCCTTTGTGACAGCAGTAAAAGTCCAGTCAAGGTCACCACGCACAGATGCAAACAGACCTGCCTATTGGGGTGTGCAAAGTGGGTCCTACTCAATTCAGATGTGGCCCAAATCAGGGACAGTGATTCAGTTCATTCATTCATTCAGATCACTGTCCCTGATTCAATTTGTCCGAATCTGAAACTGAAGATTCGATGCTGATTAAGAGAATCAGCATTTCGAACATAGATACAGCTTTAAACATTTTTTCTATATACCTCAAGGTACCAGCACAGCTTGTGAATGCTGCAACGCTGAAGCACATGGAGCATCCCACAGGAGTGTGGGGGTGGGGCCCTCCACGTGCTTGGCAGTGAACCCAGAAGTGGACCAGAAGTACTCTGGGGAGCGTGCAGGGGAACCCCTGTGCCCTCCCGGCTTGGCGATCAATCACGGGGAGACCCTGGGTGCCCCCCCTAGACCCAGAAGGCACCAGTTGCCAAGACGAGGGGAGTGCGGGGGGCGGGGGGGCCTTGCGCACTCCCCAGGGGACCCAGAAGTGGACCTGAAGTGCTTCTGGTCCACTTCCAGGTCTGCTGCCAAGCACTCTGGGGAGCCCCCATGCTTCTGTTGGGACACTCCATATGTCCCGGCATGGCAGCAATCATGAGCCACCAACAACCTAGAGGTACGCGGCAAAAACATTTAAAGCTGTGTCTATGTCCGAATCGCTGAATCTTTCTGAATCTCTCCGAATCAATTCGGAAGGTTTCGATTCTATTCGGAGAGATTAAAGGGTCCCCTGATTCGCTTCGGTTTTGGAGATTCAGCCACCGAATCAGGCCAAATCTCTGCTGAATCAGGGACCGAAGCTTTGCATGGCCCTACTGCCTACACAGAGACATCTCTGTTGTATTTGTATAAAGAATAAACTGACAGTTTTGTATTCTGAGGCACAAGGGCAGGCTAGCATTTTTCATTTTAAACTTTTTTTCTCAGTAAAAATGCAGAATCGGTATATACAAATGGTATATAAATGCAAGGTATCTTTTTTTTTTTTCCTTCCCAAAATGTTCGTTTTAAAAAAACAAACAATTGCAAAGAATTTTGGACAGACCAATTCTGCTCCTTTCAGTATGAGATATTTGGATGTTGGCATCTGAATTGACTTTCTGTTTCAGGAACTTATTTTTATGTTTTTGAGTTTAAAAAAGCAAACATTTAAAAAGTGAAAAAACGATTGAGTGGTCAATTTTTTCCAAATATATGATTCACCAAAAAAATTGCTTTTATTGTGAACCAGATTTCTTTCTTTTTTGTTTTTTGTGATTTTCAAGTTGCCAGTGTAAGCTCTAGCTCATAGAGCTATGTGATAAATAAATGATGTTATAGTAAGACATTCCTATCCAGAACAAGTGAATTGAAAGTTAAGGCCAAAACCCCCATCCACTGTACTTATCTGATAAAGTTCAGCTGGTCTATGGAGTCAGTCATCTTCTCCACCCCTATTTGACCTTAAAACCCCCTTTCTAAGTAGTCAGTTAATGGTTTGTTTTTTGCTTTGGGTGGGGGTGGGGTTT